ATCACCCTAGGGATCAATCTTGCAAGGTTTTTTTTACCATGAACTGTGGCTACAATAGATCTCAGTTCAGTCAATCCTAAAAACTGACAATTCCTCATTCCTCAACTAGGTAGCCTGTCGTCTCCTGAACTCGCGAGCCGTGCCATAGTTTCCTTCGAAAACCTTAGGCGAATGAATGATGCGAATGGCTTACTAAGTAATTTTGTAGGCACGGTACTCCTGGGTTCATTCAACGGAACTGCTTTTTTTTCAGTTTTCTGTCCTTCCTGAGGTCTCCTGCTGCTTTCCTCTCAGCAGTTTCGATTCTATTTGGATAACAAAACAATGATGCATATACATGCTGCACTTTGGGCTATGTTATTCTCCCTAATTCAAGGTCAGGTTTTTTGGTTTTATTTTTATTACTATCATTATTTATTTGTTTACTTTTGCATGTTCAGGTACACTGGAAGTGCAGCTGCTTCGAAAAATCACTTTAGCAGGCGTCTCGTTAGTGAGGGTGAGTTCAGGGATTTTGCATGCCTATCACAACACCACTAAGGCGCCATGTAAACTTGTGGTAAACTAGCAGCTGTTCAAAACCTTAAAATCGAATTTATCAGACGCGCGCGCGATCAATATCCAATTTTTGAATGTGCGTTCGCATATCAGACTTATAGGAAGTATGAAGCAGCCTAAGCCGACAGTAAACTAATGGAACTGTGAACAAGTTGATGTTACCGTTAAGCAATCTGCGAAAAATGTTTAGAATTTCGAATAATAATTAAATTAATTCAATCGTTGACTTTCTGATGTAAAATATAAATCGTGGTATTTTTAGATACAAAAATACACAAATGAAACATTACCATCATTTCGGAATATCAGTAGTTATTCATTGGGATTGGATATTCTTATGATGGCCGACTACTCGACATTACAAGGTGATTTAAATATATGATTTTAGTCGATTTTCTTGAAGGCCATTTCTTTTTTCATCGTTTCTGGACCCAAAACTTTCGGCTTCTGAAGCTATTCGGAGAAAAGGGAAAAGAAAAATCCGTTAAAACATACGAAATCCAGAGTTTTTGATACTCCCAGAATCGGTTTATACGATTTTTTTCAAGTTGAGATTCATTAGATCTCATCCGAAAAATCCTTCTAATTCAGGGTTTATTGAGATGGCTGATGGTGATGCACGTGCCGGTCAAATGTACACAAATGATTACTTAAGAGCGTTATTCGAACAGGTGAACATGAATATGAAATTGAGAAATAGGATGTTGTTACGTTAGCTATTACTTACCACCCAGGCGAGTCGGACAGGAGTTTCCCTCGAGGCCACTACGCCGAAACTGGGTCGCAGCGCGCGGTTTTTTGTCTCAATCGATTAGCGTTCACTTGACATAAACAAATGAAGTATGCCATTCTGTATGGGATGTTGGACAAGAGTACAATATATGCA